GATATTTTCAAATGTTATATAAATAAAAAATTACATCATTTTATTTTCCTTTCATAAAAGATGCATATATTTCCCATCATTTTTTTCATTCCTCATACCTAGAATTGTGTTAAAATTTCAAACGACGACGTTTCTATTTTTGCTAAACATTTCGAACGCACTCTCACATATTTTTTTGCTCTTGACAAGATTTGCATTAGCAGTGGTTTACCATTATGGTTACGAGCTAAACAATATTCGCGAAATATTGCTTGACCTACGGGTTCGAATTTCCGTGATATTCATTTCTATAGACAAGTATTACCCCAGTGCTATAGCGTATTGATAAGAATCTATCTTTATGAGGTCGTTCCTTTAATACAGTGACTCTTAAGAACTGACTCCCGAATTCCTTACTCATTCAATACATTCAAATGATACTTGGATTATTTAATTGGCATAACGATGGAACCGTGTAGGCTGAACTCTTTCATTTCTGGTGGCATCCTTTGTATTAAATTAAGAGCGATGTAGATGCTCCCATCTATCCTCTTAGAAGTATACCATTCTTTTATTCAACGCCAATATTAAAATTTAGTCTTTTTTTATTTCAATTTAATTAGGACAGGTACCTAATATGTCGTCCGATTAATCCAGAGAGATAGAAATTCATTAAACAGTAAATTCAATGAATGAATATTCAAATGTGCAAGATATAGATGAACCAAAGCCTAAGGAGCTAGTTACTCTCTACGACATGCTGTAAAAAAACGATCATATCCTATTGAAATTTCGTACAAAACGTATTATCTCATTTTATATTTAATATCATAAACAAAAAAAAATTAGAAATTTCGTTTCAAAATATTCTCTTAAACTGGTAAGTTCGAGATTAAAAAGACATTTTTTTTTAGAAATAATAAGATAAATAATTACATTGAACTTTTTTATGTTTCCGCCCATTGATTTATGATCGATTGTTCTTTTTTTCAACTTTCGGTTTGATCGCTTTTGGAAGGCGTTTATTTTTTTTTTCTTTTCAGGCTGAATGATCAAATGGCTTCATTTTTCTGATTCATTTTTTTATTCTATTTCTTTAGATACCTTGGTTTAATATTAATTTTTTGTTTGCTTTTTTTTTAAATTACTTTTTTTAGGGTTTCGATTGCTTAAGCCCGCAACAGTTTAATGGGTTTATTATTACGATATAAATGAAAGTTTTATTGTTTTAGGTTGAATCGCTTTAGAAGGCAAATGTAAGGTTTATTTGGGTTTTCAATTGTTGTTTTCTATTCTTTTTATTGATCCATTTTTTTTTCGATTCATTTACAAAATTCTGTATTCCTAGTTTCATGTTTATTACATCGAACATTATTTGTACCTATGAGTACATCCAAATACGTATAATCATCAGTTATAGCTTTTATATAATTTGTTATCAATTTTTACAATAAACTTGTAGAAAGAAAATCGTTTTTGAGTATGATTTTCCACAATAACATTCACCAGCAATTATCGGGTCGTGTGTAAAGGGAATGAACATAATTAGTACAAGACTGGATTCTAGTTTTGGAGTTGGATTAAGAGAATCTTTATTATTTGTAATCGGAAGTTCCATATTATGATATGAAAGGTTGAATTTCACATCATTTTTATCTTTATTTAATGTTACATGAATTTCTGAATTTATAATTCTAGTAAACCTATTATAGTTAGGATTAACTGCTCAACTGTTACATCAGTTTATATACCTTTACAAATAGATTTCTTCCAAATTAATTTAGTTTAAATGTAATACACATTTATTTGTTCAACATCTTCTACTAGACAAAAAAAATAAATACGAAGAGAAAATTTCCCGAGAATCTTTATTTGCAATAAATTTAATTAATAACAAAGAAAATGTGTATAGAAACCGCTTCGATTGACATAGAGGGATCACTAAAAGAATATACATTAGTTTCGGATAAGTATAATTTAAATTTTCCTTATTTAAAAATATGTATTTATATTGTTCCCAGCGAAAAAAAAAATTTTAATATATTTTATGGCCTCTTTCGAAACATGTTAGTAGTAAGTAAAAGATTATCGGTCAAATTTTACCATTCCCTTTCGCTTTGACTAATAATCTCATGAAACTATTGGCTATTTCTTGAAATATCAACGTATAAAGGAATGTGATATCTCTATTATGGTAGTAGTGATAGGGTAATCATTTTAAATAACGATACCCACGCGTTTTAAAATTTGCGAAGTTGCATAAATATAGTCTAAAAGAGGTGACAAATCTGTAATGATTCCGATTATCATTAAAAAAAAAAAAAACCTTAATATTATTTTTTATCACAATTTTTGAGTGTACCTTTTTTCGGATAAAACTCGAGTTTCTTGAATGAACCCAAAAAGTTTCGCGACTTTATTACTTAACAGATATTGATTTCATTATTAAATTAAAATAAAACATTTTTATCGCGCTTTGTGGCGCAGCATAAAATTTTCAAAAAATAATGAATGGATTAATTTTTCAGTCAAATTCCAAAATTCAGAATACTGAAAATATCTATCTTTATTCAGAAAAGGCTATCTAAGTTGTTCAGATGAAATATGAACTCTAGAAACAAGTTCGTTTAAAATTATTTAATAAAATGTTTCTAAGTTTTTTAAAAAAAAGTCTATTTAACGTTATTTTAATAGTATATTAGCTAAAATGTTTAAAAAGACATCTTTAACTAGCATTATAATGTCCAAAAATATCAAAGAGTCCAAATATTAAGAAATGGTATAGCTCAATCTACGAATAATATCCTTTATTTTAGTTTTAATATGTGGTTAGTTTATCATCGTCTAGTTTGGAGAGAATAGGGACCAAAAAGCAATAGTATTCAATTTGGTAAAATGTTTGGATCGAATCGCAAACTATAGAATTTTTTTTAATTCTCAGAGCTGTAAGCTACTTGGAAATTAGTAAAACAGGATATCAAATAAAATGTAAAAGTTACGCCAACTTCCAAGCGTTCTAAATCATAAAATACCGGCATATCCTTTCTGTCAATTTTTCAAACTTAAGTTCGTTAAAGATATAATTAATTCCTACAATAAAAAAAAGCCTTTTAAATGGTTCATATATTGGCAGCGTCTCACATTTTGATTACATTTAAGCAGTAAGCAATGACCTTAAAAAGGAACCATTAAATAAATAAATTTTTAAACTAATATTATTTAAAGCATTAATTTGCTATTATTGTTGATTTGAAGATATATTGTTTGCTGGGTAAGTTAAATTAAATTATCAAGAAAATATTTTAATTCTCCTTTTCTTTGTTGAGAGAATACAAAATTAACTTAGCCTCTCTGTTTTTATTGCGGCAACGACTGGGGATATATTTTTTTTATTTTGATTTTTTTGGTCCCAATTTAATTAATTATTTTTTACTTTAATTTATTTACTATGATATAATAATAAAAAACACTTTTTTTGGTTTGAAATTCATCATTAATAATGACATTTTTTTTGGTAAATTTATAAACACTTATAACTATATTTGAATACGAATAGAAAAAAGTGAAATTAGATGATGATACAAATATATCTTGACTTTATCCTTATTTTCAATGCTAGCATTTAGCTTATCCAAATAATAAATCTGAAAGAAGAAGAAGAAGAAGAAGAAGATAATATAATAAATTGGATTAAATTCAGATCTAATTTTGTAATAAAATAATTCCAGTTCTAACATGTGGTTTGACGCTGTACCTCTTGTAAGTTTCTGTAAATGATTTTATATCATTAGCATTCATTTCTTCTTCATAAAATAAATTTTCTTTTTGATTATTTAATGAAAATTTGATTTATCCTATTGATCATTATCATCACCTAAAAGATTTCTTTATCTTTAATTCTCAGACGATGAACTTTACTGTTTGTTGCTCAGATTTTAGTTTTTACATTTACAATAAATCATTTTGTAGAAATCTAAAAGAATGTAAACATTTTGACATGTATAACAAACGCCTGAAAGGAAATTACAGGTAGCTGTTAGGTTTTCTGCCATCAAAAAATTGTAAGCGGAGACCTTATTAAATTATAAGCATTTTGATGATCAGAATACAAAAATAGAATAAGTTTTGTTTTCGGTAATGTTGGTATCAAATAAAATCTCTTGATCATACAAATTCGAAATGAAAATATAAAAAATTTCTATCTTTCGATTAAATAATTCTTTTGAAAATCTCGTTTAAATTATTTAACTAAATTTCGAAAGGGAATTCTTAAACAAGGTCGAATTGATTTTTTGATTAATTTATTAACGTTAACTGATAAATTGAATCTCTGTCTTTCATATTAATTTACATTGGCACCATGAATCGTGAAGGATCACAGGTTAGGCAAATGACGGCTTGTTGAGAAAATTAATTACTAACTAAATTTACTAATAAGCCAGACATGCGTCTTTAAAATTTAAACTAAAAATTTAAACTGCATAAATAAATTTTCTCACAAATAAAAATAACTTATTTACTAAATTGAACACATTATTATATTCGTTTAATATATATATATATCTCTTTTAAAAATAGAATACTTTACTTTTATTATTACTTGTTCTATAAATACAAATAATGGGTTTCAAGTGTATAATAAAATTTTTTAAAAAAAAAAAAAATTGTGAAAAAATTTATTTATGATGTCAAAATAACATGTGACTCACATAATTCATGTGATTTTTCTTATCACGGGCTTTAGTCATCGGGAAATATCAGATATAATAACTCAATCGTCAGGGTCACGGCTGCGCCGTGACGCCCTGATGATATCTCTGATTTCGATAAATATCTTGATGCGGTATATATAATAAGGTCGTGGAACCCAAAATTTTGTTGATCAGGCGAGTAAACTCCGTAACTCCAAAAAGTTTTGGCGATCAGTGACAAATATGGGAACGTTGTTGCCTATATCTCATGACTTAATTTTATTCCAATTTTTTTTTTTTTAAAAAAAAAAAAAAAATTATCAAAAAAACATGTCGGATATTGAAGAATCGATTTTGTGGTTAGAAAATTCAAACAAAAATTTGCATCATTACGAATATTCAGACTTCAGAAATTCAGAATTTATAGGAGATGGAGCATTTGGAAGTGTCAAGCTTGCAAATTGGAAAGATTCCGATTGTTTGTTCGCTTTGAAATCCTTTAAAGAAGATAAAATATCTATTAAAGAAGTTGTAAATGAGGTAAAATTATTGTTATTGTTGAAAATATTTTCAATAAAATCTAACATTCAATTATATTTGATTTTGCAGATAAAATTACATATTGAGGTTAACGCGAATAAAAATATTATAAGATTTTATGGCATAGCAAAGGAAAAAACTGGTAATTATTTGAAAATTATAATGAAAATTTTCTATAATTCATTAAATTTTATTTTTATTTTTATACAACAGGTGCAAATAAATATCATTTAGTTTTGGAATATGCTGACAGTGGCACGTTAAATGAATATTTAAACAAGAATTTTTCTAATCTTGGTTGGGACGAAAAATATCAGCTAGCTTACCAATTGACGAGTGCTGTAAAATATATGCATGATTTTAACATTGTTCATCGTGATTTGGTAATAATTTATTTAGTTTTTTATTTTATTTATAATGTTTTCTTAATAATTGAAATTTCTTTTTACAGCATGCAAAAAATATACTTGTAAATCAAAAAACTATTAAATTAGCAGATTTTGGTTTATCAAAAAAGATTTCCGAATATTCAAGTTATATAGATCCAAAAAATTTAAATGATCATCGACAATACAAATTGAATAAAAAGTCTGATGTTTATAGTGTTGGAGTATTGATGTGGCAAATTTCTAGTGGACGTCGGCCATTTCATGACATTAATTATGATATAAATTTAGTCTTAGATATTATATTAAGAGAAAAAAGAGAAGAAATTATTGTCGGAACTCCTATTGAATATATCAATATATATCAAGGTAAATTATATTAACAATTTTTGTTTCTCATAAAATTAATCTTAACTTTTATTTATCAAATCAGAATGTTGGAAATATGAACCAGATGAGCGTCTAAACATGAGTGAAGTCTTATCGAAAATTAAAGCAATCATGCCTCTTGAACAATCTGATGCCGATAAAGAAGATATTATATTTATTGAAGAGGAATCCAGTGTTAAGTCAAGCGAAGATACTTTTGAGTATTTATTGATCGACCCAAATATAGTCATTGA